CGATGTTTGCCTCCGGTCAAGTAGTTCCCTTCGACTGTATTATGATCATACAGTGTCAAAATGAGGTAGTCACCATGTTTGAAAACTTCATTATAAGGCACCTTGACATCCATGTTGCAAAAATTTTGATAATATTCTAAACTTGTATAAGAATAAAATGTTTACCCACAAGAATAATCACCAGTGGAACTTTGAAAAGAATAATGAGTCTAGTAGATTAGTACTACTGTATTTATAGTGTTGCCCCCTCTCCTAATCAACTCATTATCATAGTAAATTCCCTTAATTTAATGAATACAGGTAGATATTGTAGAAGACAGGTACATTTTAGACAGGTACAATCAGAAATTTCAAAGATGGTCGTATTACTTCATCAACAGTTCATTATTTTGTTTACCTAAACTATTCAAAGAATCAGAAGGAAAATTAAATTCACAAAAATTTGTAAATAAAAATATCAATGTATGTTTATTCCAGATGTCAGAATTCTTTTTTCTGGGCATATTGTAGCTGTCATGAATGTTCCTAATAATTATGTTCAATAGGAGTATCATTGTGCTTCTTCCAACGACAAGTATTGCTAACATTTTTCGTAAGCTGGATTAAATACTTCTAGCGGAGTTTAACGCCGAAGTAGTAAAATATTTTGAGATACAAACCAAAGTTATTTTTTTCATGTTATCGGCATCAGTCATTCGCTACGTCATCTGGGTATGCAATTATAATAACTCCTCGAGCCACCTATAACGTAGCAAAGCTTTTCGTATTCTGGCAGCCACGTAACGTTGTAGAGTCATCCCAACTTCAATTCGATAAATTTTTCACAATTTTTAATAAAATACAGCCAATGCGCTTTTCACCACTGAACAAGAGATCAATCTTTCCAAATTTTTAATTCATTACTGAAATAATTTCACTGCCGTTTGTACAGGCGATACTGTAGTTTACGAATCCATCGTTCTTCTATGATAGATTCTCAATAAATGAAAATTTCGATGAGAAAAACTACAAAAATGGATAGACAAATTCAATAGTCAACAATAAAATCCGTGTTGGTTTACGAAAACTGAAATTTATATTGAAATAATATACCACGCCGCCCATGCCATTCAAAGAAACTGCCGACGTTCGGTAACTATTTAGTTTTCATGAGACTCGAATTGACTTCACATAAACTATATATCCATGGTAATCATGCTTGTTCTTTAATGCCCGTGGCCATGTTTATTTTCTTCAATCCAATTTTTCATTCATTATCATTATTATACCATTATTTTCCACGCTGACGTATTCGAGACACCCCGTACATTTTTTTTCTTTAACGACGAGACACCCTGTATGACAGCCATATTTTTTTCTATTACGTTGGCAGACATATATTTTTCTTTAACGCCCGTGGCCATGTTTTTTTCTTTAATCCGGTTATTCGTTCATTATCAATATTATACCGTTATTTTTGTAATTCCACCGCGCCGTTGTCTGTCAAATGAATCTACTCGATGCTCATTCCATCCTTCTATGCATCAATCACGTCGCACACGTCTCTTTCCCACTCACTACACTAAGTACGTCCCCTAGGGAATACGTCCCAGTTCTCTCTTACCTCCTCTACTGTCTTTTTTTCTATCAAAAACAAATGCCCTTGAAAGGCCAAATGCTGGAAGACGAGCGAGTAGGAGTGAAACACATCTGTACTCACCTAACAAAAAAATAATGAATTGAAATAGAAAACTATTTATTATAAAGCAAAATATACAAGTAACATTATTCAGTAACGAATTCGTTCATGATGAACAACTACTTCCACAATAGTTCCGCCATACAAAAAGCGGCTAGTCCATCTCCATTTTTCCAGTGAACTGATTGATCACTTATTCAGGCTCTTCATTGCCTCATAAATTTCAAGGGACAGCACTTGACTCATTTGCTTTTTGAGAACGAAGAGGTAAGCCACTAGCTGGGCAGCATAACATTTCCCACTATCATGCAGAGGTCTTTCATCCCAATTAAATTCGGTAGTATTGCTATTTTCAAATAAGCATAAAGGAAATTTCAAGTACTTTACTACACAATCAGGCAAGGTCTTTCCCTGGGAGCGCACTCCATTATTGTTCTTCTCCGTGAGCAAGTCAGCAATCCGAGTGTCAAACACATTTCTAGTGAAGATATTATAATTACTGTGAAGAACGTCAACTAGTTGTCTGGCATGGTGCATGACTTTGCAGGTGTGTGGTGATTCAAATAGATTCTTCATTGCTTGATGAACGTGCCAATTCCTTAAAAGAACCGTGTCAAATAAGTATACACGTTTCCATGTGCATAGAGCGAGAAGTTTCACAGTAGCGGCCTGACTATTTTCCAATCCGAATGCTATGACTGCAATCGTTTCTGCTTCAGACAGTTTTTCAATGGCCTCATGATACTGTCTATCTTGTTGGTCCAAATAAACGTAATTAGTACACATGTCCTTCAATTGTCGGTATTCCTCTTCAGTTGACTCAATTTTCTTGTATTCTTTAGCACCGTCCACGTCCGCGGAACCTTTCAACTTATGAATTTTCTTGATTTCTTTTCGATAAAATGCACACACTCCTTGAAGTTCATTTGCGTGGTTCAGAAACTTTGTGTTCACCAATTCCATTCGATGTTTGCCTCCGGTCAAGTAGTTCCCTTCGACTGTATTATGATCATACAGTGTCAAAATGAGGTAGTCACCATGTTTGAAAACTTCATTATAAGGCACCTTGACATCCATGTTGCAAAAATTTTGATAATATTCTAAACTTGTATGAGAATAAAATGTTTACCCACAAGAATAATTACCAGTGGAACTTTGAAAAGAATAATGAGTCTAGTAGATTAGTACTACTGTATTTATAGTGATGCCCCCTCTCCTAATCAACTCATTATTATAGTAATTTAACGAATCCAGGTAGAAGACAGGTACGTTTTAGAGACTATAGTCTGAAATTTTTTATACCTGAGTAATCGAAACAGAAAGATCGCAAAAGAAATGAAATTCACAAACGTTGGAAAAGTAAAAATGACAATATATATGTTCATTTCAGGTGTTAGTGGAATTGTAATAATTTTTTTCTGATCTCAATGTAGCTTTGATGAATGTGAAATACATTGTAGAAGGTTTATCTTCATTAATAACAAACGAAATTCCATCCAAATTATAAAAAGTCCTTCCACTACCCCTACAAATAATGATAATGTGCATGTCCATTCCAAAAGTTCATCACTCTGGGAAAGTACTGATGGAATGACTCTTTTCACTCAACTCCTAAAATTCAAACCGAAAGCAGCATCTGCTTTTTGAGGACAGCATGTTGTATGAATTTAAAAGTTTGTGCTGATTTGAATAGGTAAATATTGTAGGTAGAAGACAAGTGAATATTAGAGGCTATAATCAGATGTTTTGAAGATGATAATGTTACTTCATTAACAGGTATATTTTTTTTCACCCAAGCAATTCAAATAATCTGAAAAAAATGGAAATGAAGTTAACGAACTGCGGGAAACTAAAAATAATGTGTATTTATTCCAGGTGTCAGAAGAATCAGAATTGTTTTTTTCTGTTCAGGTTCTATACATGCAATTGTCTATTGTGTAAATTCATCAATATCAAAAATGTGAAGTGGGGGCCTCCTTTATTCACGCCGGTATCCAGGCCGGGTACGAAATATTTTTTAAATAATGAAAAAAGCCCCTGTCATTCATTCACAATGTTCATCTTCAGAATGTTCGTTCATCAAGATACTGGAAAGGTTACGGTTAACAACAGATAAAGTTCTGAAATATTACTTTTCCCAAAACCCGTTTTCAATTTTCAGGTTGCTAGAAGGTACAATGATCAAGACAGTACAGTACCTGCACCAGTCAAGTTGGAATCTCTCCAGGTGATATCTGTTATGAGTAGAAATTTTTTTGAGGAACTCATTGCTCCTTATATCAGTCACATTACGAAAGCTCTTAGTGCCGCGTTAGATGATAAATATCCTGACTTGAAATTGCATGCTGGAAGAGCAATCGATTTCATTGGGCAAGCTATGAACAGATATCTCAGTAGTACAGGTATGTGTACAAGATGAATAATTTCACGATTAAATGAAAGTGTTCTTTGAAATGTACAGTCATACCCGTAAATATGACTGTAGAAGAGTCAATGATGAGTTTTGTACTTTTTGTTGTTGTTAACCTTTGTTAATTTCAATTTTTTGACATGATCCGTTCAAAAAATAAAATTATCAACATGCCTGAAGCTTCGGACAGACGTTGAAAAATGGCAATGAAAAGGATATTCATTACTTAATTCTATTATTGATATTTTCAATAGCCGACATAGTAATATTGTTTGTCAAATTTAAAAAATAACTTTTTTTGTTTCAGCAACAAAACAAATTGTTCCCTTCGAATACTATTTGCAGTTTTGGCAAACGCTTTTCAATGAGTCTCTTATTAATTTGGTGCAAAGTGAACAAGTAATTTTGAGAGCAGTGGGATGTGATTGCCTAGGAAGTATAGGAAATGATATTTTTGATAAGTTACCTGTAAGTAGGAACTCTGTACAAAAAATAGGGTGAATGTTAAAATTTCGCGAGCAATTTTTTTTATTATTTTACGTTGATACATTCGTCTCGAATATATCTTCACAGTTTTAGCTGTTTAGCATGTTTAGTTTGTTTGTGGGAGGCATAAAAGTTGCAAGTATTTTGAGTGTTCGGCAGTTTTCTGCTATTGATAAACTGGATCAGCGAATTTGCATCAAAATTTGTCTAAAACATGGAATCGAGTATTCAAAAACACTTAAAATATTGGCAGGTCTAGAAGAAACAACTGATAAAAATTTAATGCTACCTATGTATCATTTTGGTTTCAAATCAAATTCTGAATTATAAAACACAAGACTTAAAATTAATGTGAGAAATTACACCGACGGTCTTGAGCCAGTTTTTTATATTTTGGTTCTCGTGAGGAACAGCAAATTCGAATTGTATCTTCTAGGTGGGTGTTCGTTATTTGTTTTTCAAAAAATTCATCTTTGAGAAATATGTTTCACATACGTATGTCGAGCCTAACATAGTAGCCAAATTTATAGCTAGTTTCTTGGAATTATCATATTTTTCTGGGACATGTTTGGCCCAGAATTCTTCAGTGGATAACGTTTTATACATTTGCAAAGACACATCTTCTTGAAATCAATTATCTGTATTTGAAGTGATGCCTTCAACAGATTAAACAACTTGTCAGCCACATCTGCCTTCTCCCACACACCACCAGGAGATAAACTATAATTCCTAAGCTCTAACTTTGTCTATCATCTCACAGGAAGAATCTGGTAGTAATTTCTCGAGAAATTTGCCAATAATTTCAACAGTGGTTCATAAAAGAGTTGAGAAAATCTACCGAAAACTGAAGATAACATTGTTGAAAATCTTTCAAGTCGTTGAAGAACTTGACTCTATTGAAAACATTTTTCCCACCCCAGAACACTAAATTATTGCTGACAAAGTTATGAGGTTGAGAATTGTGTTCTTTCTTCTCCTCTCGTTTGAATTTCAATTTATTTATTATTATTATTACCCTGGTGTTTTCTGAAAGCATTCTATTCTGTTTTCTTTTGTAACATTCAGACCCCGATATTACTGTGCTTACATTAATTCAATGAAAATGGAGTTGAATGAAGTTGATATGTTTTGTGTGCATATGACAATCTTTCATGTATGTTTGGTTTAATTTTACCCTAAGTATTATTTTATGTATAAGTACAAAATGCTATTTGACCTATCCTATAACTTTGTAAGTTCTACAGGATTAATAAAGTTATTAACTCTCCGTTTTATTCGTGAAATTATAAAACAACGATAAAAATAAAAACAACAATAAAAATACAGTCCACGTACATTAATACTCAACATATGGCAGGCGAAAAGATCAAAATGTTTCGGTGTTTTGTCTGTGTTTTTGTAAACTGAGTTCGCAATGTGGAAAAGGTCAGAAATATTAATATTTTATTGAAGGTGTTAATCTGTGACGGGTATAAATTTCAATTATCGGCACTAGGCAGGCTACTTTTATTGATTTGTTGTATTGTTGTTTATGTCAAACAAGAATGAGATTTAATTTTCCATTGAAGAACATGAACGAAAAACAGGCAATGGAGTAGTTTAATTGCTGTTCCAGTAGTAAAAACAATAGACAACAGTTCTCAACAAAACACACGACTCACACTCGTTTTTGTTTCTGTCTTTGAAAACTAAACTAGTCGCAAGCGAGTTCATTTGATGGAAATACGTCTTAAGAACTGTAATAAAAACGTCCCATTCCTAACAGGTCACTGTTTACTTTTTATTATTTCATCAAGCTTTTATTAGCTTTGTAACTTCAGAATTATATCAATTAGGTTACGTATAGCGGCATCTGCCCGCAAATATATCAAGCAATAATGTTGGTAATTATATTGCTTGATCTATTCGCGGGCAGATGGCGCTGTCCGTAACCTCCTTGATATAATTCGAACTCACTTTTCAGTTCAATGTTCTTCAAAAGCGTGTTTTTTAGTATTTTCAAACTATATTTATTTATGAACCACTATCTTAAAACAAACATAAATTTTCCCGGTAACTTATTCGCTAATTTCGATTCACCCAGTTAGATTTCAATAGTGAAGTTAGAGTTGAGGATTTATTATAGTTCATCTCATCTCCTGATGACGCTAACGTCGTTGTTAAAATGCCTGTCAAGAATACTGTTAGATTCTGGTGCGTGAGAAAAGTTTTCTGTTTAATTCATGAGTAGTACTCTTTCAATTGGTTTGCATCTGGAATAAATTGATATTCGAGTTTTTTTTTTCTGTTCTAGAGAGATAAACAAATTATATGTATCACTTTATTATTTTCTTGTACAAGAGATGAAGGACAGAGTGTTAGAGGTGCTGCAGTGAGGGCCTTAGGAATGTGTATTTTGTATCCAACTGTTAAAGAGGTAAGGATACAAGAATTGGCATGTACTTTTTATATTATAGTGTTCGAAAAAACAGCAAAGAACATGTTTGTATTATTTTCAGGATCCTGGTTTCGTAATCGACACAGCAGAAGCTATTCATCGATTACTCAGAGATAAATATTTGATGGTTAGGGTAAAAGCATCTTGGTCTTTGGGCAATCTGAGCGAATCTTTAGTTTCCATGAGGTAATTTTTTTCTTAACGCTCTCTAATTTCAGGTGTCTTAATTCTTTCAAGCTAATTTGACTCCAAATTAACTCTGGTCCGTAACTCAACACATTGAGCAGAATAATTCGTGTAGCTTCATTGAAAACACACATAAGGATTTAGTTTTGAATTAAGTTGGTTTACCACCTATCAGTTATATGTGGACTGTTCAAAAAATAAGGTTAATATTCATATTTCGCGGTCTACTTACATTCAGTTAGCGATTTTTTTATGTTATTACGCTCATCTCGAACATATGTTCACAGTTTCTCAACAAAAAAAACAGTGTTCAAGCCCACCAGGAAAATATAGCAAAGCCTGAGATCTGCGAAAGACAAAAGAGATCCACTATCAGCTGCGGGGGTATATCGTATACCATGCACCTCCGGAAAAGTTTATATCGGTACCACCAAAAGATAGGGCGCATTTGATAATACGTCGTTAGAATCAATCATCCAGGCGTCGAGGAGAAGAGGGATTGACAAGACAAGCTGTAGGTGGATATATACAACCATTATGGGGCTGTTCTCAGAGGGGGTTCTATCCCCTCTGTTATGGAACCTTGTAATGGACGAGCTACTATGTCTCTTGGATCACAATGGGTATAAAGCACCTGGCTATGCAGACGACTTAGTCATCTTAGTCCAGGGTAAATACAATAATGTAGGATGCATGCAGCAGGCCCTGAACATTATAACAAGATGGACCGAAGAAGAAGGGCTTAACATAAGCCCATCCAAATCGACCATAGAAGCATTCACCAAAAGGACTAAAGCGGATGGTCTCGGACCTCTAAAACTTCGAAGTGAAGAAATTCAAATGTTGAGGGAGGTTTAATATCTGAGAGTAATCCTAGATCCCAAACTGACTTGGAACCAACACTTGGACAGGATAAAGAGGAAAGCGGAGGTAGCACTGATGCTCGCCAGACGCACCTATGGAAAAACATGGGGGCTAAAGGCAGACATGGTACATTGGCAATACATGATGGTGGTTAAACCCATGAAAACACATGCATCTCTGGTCTGGTGGCCAAAGATAAAGCAGGCGACCGCCATCAACAAACTAGTCAAGGTGCAATTAGCCCAAGAGGCTGTAGTGTTTTCTGGAGACTTGGACTAAATGGACAAGTCAGATAGCTCCCAAGGTACAAAAAAAAACCACCAAAAGATCCATGGGTACGCAAGGCTGAATGAACATCGGAGAAAATGTAGATTAGGTCAAATAGAAAAATCGGCAGTAGCGGAACACGCGTTTAGTGAACGAGATCATACGATACTGTTCGAAGATGTGAAACTACTACTATAAAAACTACAACAGAAAAGAGGAGGCGATAACGCTTAACCGGATTTGGAGTCCCATACTAAAAGATGCTAAGGTGGCAGCAGTGCAACGCAATGTAACAGGTCATAACACTTCGTCCAATAACAACGCACCAACTAGAAAAGCGGGCTACCTGTGTCAACATAAATACAGCTTACGAACTAGAAATCACCAGTCATCGGTAAACCATCAGGATGAATAGACCTCTGAAGAAGCCAGCCACTCGTGCTGGCGAAACGCTAGGATACACTTCCAAACCACGGCGGCCTTCAAACCCGAACGAAGATCGTAACACTGAATAATTATTTTTCGAAAAAAATGAAAGTTCGCCTTATTTTTTAAACAGCCCTCGTATTCTATATTGTTGGTAATTTTTATTTGTTACTGTTCAGAATATATCAATTTAATTTTAAATTCTAATAAACTTGATAATTAAAGCTTCCAACCTACCAATTCGAATTGTTCAAAATCAGTCTAATGACCGATGAATCTCTTTCAAGAAAATAAATGTTTCGATATGAAATTCCAAACATTCACCTCAACTAGTCAACCGGTAAACAGGGTTTTTCTCAGATCAACGTTTCGTTTATACGGTCAATCGACCGTATCAATCATTCTCAATCAGTCTCAATACCACGAAACTGCTTATCTGTAGGTGATCACTGAAAGAATTTCCTCCGTGAGTGAATTTGTGAAGAAGTCTGTCGGATTTACTTCAATGTCTGTCATGGTATTAACCGGAGAAGTATTTGTTTTTCTACTAACATTTGCCAGATCCTTCTGTGTAGGAACATTGGTAGAGTTATTGAACGGAACTGGCCGATACTTTATGAAAATCCATATTAAAAAATACAGTTCATTGTAGGATTTTCACTATAAACGGTTTTACAAAAACCGCTATACAATAGCTTCCTCAAGCGTAAACTAACTAGTTTATGCTTGAATATCATACAATAAACTGTATTATTTTTTTTTTTCACATTAGTAGAAATTTTTTTCAAAATATCTATGTTATTATTACTTGGTCGGTTGGTAACCAGTCGGTTTGACGTGGGTGCTTTATTGCTCTCTCTAATTGACCGCCGTGTTGGTCGGTGGTTCAAGCCCTAGGCTGAACGATCGATTTTCACTTGCTATCGTCCAACCCGTCTTAGTAATCACACGTTAAAAGGTAAGACCTCGTTAGTCCTTAGCTCACACAAGTTTCGACTTCTGAGGATTGTCGTTCGTAGGGGTGCGACAGCTGGTTAACGGAAAAACCGATTTTAAACAGGGAGATTACTTGGGTTAAGTTTGAAATCTGTTTTTCCGTTAATCAGCTGTTGCCCCCACGACAACTCTCAGAAGTTGAGAAACTTGTGCGAGCTAAGGACTAACGAGGTCTTACCTTTTAACGTGTGATTCCTAAGTTTAGGAACTGATTTTAAACACAAGGAATGTGATGGGATTAGTTTCTGTTGGTATTTTTCTTTCTTCAATTGATTTCAGATGCTCTCCATGATTTATTTTGTTTGAAACGCAAATCGTGAGTATTTAAATTAATGCATGCGCCATCAAATTGTTGTTATTATAAACTGTTCGAAAGCTATGAAGCTCTTACCTTTCAGTAAATCTCCATGTGGAATTGAGGAAATAACAGAAAATCTCATTCTGAAGATGTTACAGATTAGCATAGATTCAGCCAATGATCATGATAAAATTAAAATGAATGCAGTTCGATCAATAGGGAATTTGTTGCTGTTATTTACAGACCTTTCCATGGAAAAAACTAAAATCAAGGAAATCACCCAACAAGCTTTCAAAGTTTTGGTTGACAAATGTACAACTGGATCAAATACTAAGGTGAGAACTTTACGGATAGTAGGGGGGCATACTTGAAGACTGTCTGCCAATCAAATTATCTGAAAGAACAATTCGTTATGGCCAGTCTTGACTCTAGGTTAATGGACTGACACCTATCAGAAAACAAATATTCCCCTGGCTGTTACCCCGAAGGACGTTGGATTATATCCGACAAGTGTCAGTGCAGGATTTTTCACTGAAGCAATTCCTGCATATGCTGTTGGCGAAACAACTGCCGCAATCGATTTTCAATTATTGGAATGGGCACACTTGCAGACCCGTTTCGGGCTCTTTGGCCTCTCGTCAGTGCAACGTAATGTCCATCATCAACATGAAGTTGATGATTTGCCATAATTGAAAATAGAATTCCTTTCAGGGTATCATTCCTCGAACAAGGCTGAAACGAACGACAAATAACATATCCGCATACCAACCGCATATCCGAATTGCCCAATTCTTCGTGTAAGGAAAAAAACTTCACATATAGAAGTGTCAGTTCATTAACCTACAGTGTAGGTGACTTGAGACCGGCCTGATCGAATTGTTTTTTGAGATAATTTAATACAAAGGTGAGAAGTTCACATAATGTCAACATTTTTGTTGTTTTTGGTATACAATCAGTTGTTATAGAATCAGACAACACAAATAAGATCAGTGACGAAAAAACAGTACATACACGGCGGTTAATACATAAATATAATAGTATCAAAAAATAATAAATTATAATGGTTATAGTAAACAGATCAAACATACTGAAAATTACGTTTTTCTGACACGTCTGCCAATATTTTTCTCATCAATTTTTCATTTGCTAGTGAAGAACAATATAAAATGAATATTCCTTGTTACTAGGTGAGGTGGAATGCTTGTTATGCTCTCGGAAATGCTTTGAAGAACTGTGCCTTCTATAAGAATTATTCAGCTACAACTCCTAAAGAATGGCAGACTGCTATTTTTGCATCAGTTTTTAATGGACTGGCAGATCTTGTCGTAAGTTACCGCAATTTTAAAGTGAGGATAAATGCAGCTCTAGCCTTATCGACTCCATCTCAGAGAGAACATTATGGACTTTTTTTTATTCCATTGTGGCGCGCTCTGTTGAAGGGACTGGAAAATTCACAAAACGTGGATGACTTTAACGAGTATAAACATAGGGATAACCTCGTAGATCAGGTAAGATTCTCTTATATTAAGTGGGNGTAACTTATTAACTTTTTTTTATGTATGTTTTACGTTTTATATTGACTTCTTTATCTTTTTTATGTTTGTTCGACCTGTTAAATCAGCCAGTATTTTATGGTGATGTTATTTTTTTTTTGTCTAATGTGATTGTGAAGGAAAACTGATTCAATAAATGTTTGGTTGATTGATTTATTGATATCAAGTATAATCAAGTTTTATACTTGATGATGGGGTAAAACCCGAAACCGGTCGTAAAAATATAAAATAACTGGTGGAAATTAGACAAAAAAAGTGTTTTTCGTTCATTCCATTAAAGTGATCATAAATTCCCACAAAATAAGCAAGTCCTCATACACACATATTATTCTAGTGTTATTTTAAAAAAAGTAAAACAACGTTTTTTTTCAGATTTGCATAACCTTAGCTCATCTCACAACATTACTCCAGACAGAGGATCTGACCCAACTCCAAGAAACAATCCAGCTCAATTTTGATATTTTTAAAACTCATACCCATAAAGTTTTCGAAAGACTTCTTCCTGAAAACTCCTCAGCTTTATTTTCGGCAGCTGACACTTTGACTATAATGAGCAAACAGAGTTCTCTTAGTGCAGAACAAAAAAGCGTGGTGGAGAATTTGATTAATATTTTTCTACCAAATTATGCCCTGAAATAATGATTGAAATCATTGATATTTTTGAAATCAACATTTTCTAACGACCAAATTGCACCGTGGAAAGCTCTGTCTATTGACGATAACAGGATCTGTGCTGCTGTTATGGAGGAACAAGTGTATTTGTATTTTTCTGAATAAACATGAACTTTTTAAATTTTTATCCTAATTATTTTTTCCATTCAAAGCAACAAAAGAAATTTCCCAACCTTATAAACCAAATCCTTTCATTTGATGTTGTAATTTATTTATTTGATGGGAAAATAATTTCAAAAAATAAAAAATAAGGTTTTTTTTCAGTGGTCTTCCAGACGAATGAACAAAACTTGCAAGGTGCATTTCTTAGTTTTCCTGTGGGCCGCAACATTTTCTTTTGCTTGTATCAGACTGATACCTCAGTGAATACTCATTCAATTCATTCGAAATAAGCACCATTTGAATCAGTGCGCTTTTGCCAATGTAACACGAGTTAATTCATTTCGTCAGCAAAAAGACTGGGTGTTCTGGATTCGAAGAAGTCGACGAAGGCCGTTTTTGCCTTGTCCCGATTGGCGAAGGTTCTACCGGTGATAAAGTTATCGAAGTGTTCGGAAAGATGGTAGTCGGTTGGCGGAAGGTCTGGAGAGTATGGTGGATTAGGCAGAACTGTGACGTTCAATGCGTTTAATTTTCGGGCGATGATTTGTGTCGGTCTTTAAAAGCGTGCAACACCCACTTTTCGAGTTTTTTGACGTTTTCAATACGTTTTAAACCATCTAAAACAGCATGGGAGCTGACGGCCAGTGCTACGCCACCCCATCTACCGTTTGTGATGGGCCGTTTCAGCAGCGCTTTGGTTTAATTCGTATTCATTCAAATTGGCCTCAAATCATTTGACATCATATTTAGATGGGACATGACGAGCTGCCTATGACCTTTTGTGGTACTATTTGCTTCTAATTGGACAATGTCCAGTGATTAACTCTGTAATTATACTGAGTTAATCCCTTCGTTGAAGCAGTTTTTCGTTTTCTTTCCTTGATAGTTCCTTTTCAGTTTTTCACAGTATTTCCAGGTCAGCCTTCGATGTCACTCTTGGGTTCATGTCCCAAGTGCTGCCTGTAAGAATATTGATCTGCTCGTTTCATTGAGGCCTTAACGTTCCTTGCAGAACATTACAGACAGATCCTTTTTTTTTCTGTAGGATAATATGATGAAATGAAAGAGAATATAAATAAATAAATATATTCATGAAATATACATACTCTCACACTGCAATACAGACATATAAATACTTGTATAAAAATGAATAACACAATGAAGACGTAAAACACAAACCTCTCTGTACCAATTGGTACAGAGAGTTCTTTTGGTAATTGTGTTCTTGAAAATAGTCATTCCAATGCCGATTTTTCATGAAAGTAAATGTAAAATTGGTAACGTTACTATATACTACGTACTATATAAATACATCTTAGATTTTTGGTTAATTGACAAAGAGCTGAAAATAATTTTACTTATTCACTTCCTAACATATTACTATCACGTTTTTATAATCACAAAATATTCATCTTTTTGAAAAACGCCGATAGTTTTTCTGAATCATAAAGAATGAACATTAAAGAGGCAAAAATTACCAGATGTTCCACCATTAAAAGTCTCAAATCAGTTTGATGAATATTCTCATAAATTGGTAAACGTCATTCAACTGGATTAATAATTTACATCATCTTGATTATAGGCTTAAGTTTATTGTGGATATTATAACCTATTCCTTTCCTTTGATTTACCGAAAAAAAAACTCCTGCTCCTCTTTTTCTACTGTTCCTGTTTTCTATTACCTGCAAAATTAAAGTCTTATATTCGTGAATATTGTAAACTTTTTCCATTCCTTTATTTACCAAAACGAAAAACTCCTGATACTCCTTTTCTATTGCTTCTGTTTTCTGGTGCCTGTAAAATTATAGTGCACAGTTAAATTAAGAACTTCATTAATGGAATAGTTTTGATTTCTTTCTTCAAAATTTCCAAGTATTTTCCAACCTTTATTTACCAAAACGAAAAACTCCTGATACTCCTTTTCTAATGCTTCTGTTTTCTGGTGCCTGTAAAATTATAGTGCATAGTTAAATTAAGAACTTCATTAATGGAATAGTTTTGATTTCTTTCTTCAAAATTTCCAAGTATTTTCCAAATTGAAAAACTAAAATTCACGAGAAATTCTTGCAGAAAGTGATTTTTGCAATGCCTTTATGTACTCTCTCAATTTCCTGGAAATATCTAAATACTGAATGTAATTTTTTTTTGCAAAATAATTTGTTAAACAGGTCTCAGAGGATAGGCATTTGGATTTCCCATAACCCTTGATTCTTGTTGAGGAATCGTTTGGAGTCAGTGATTTCAAAAAATCCCCAGGAAAATTTCTGGAGTAACTTCATGTTAAGAGTGTTTTTAAAGATTTGTTAAAAAAAAGTAATTGCTTTAATAAACAATATTATTTTTCCTGTCAAAACAACCACATGTACAAATACCTACTACATTTTCAAGGTCACAATTAACTTACATGTCTTGCTCCAAATAACATTCTAGCTTTATCTTCTTCTTGAGGTGTTGTACTTTCGTTTGATGATCCTGTATTCCTTTTTATTTGGAGTTTCTGCTTTATGGCCTTGAGAAAAATTATTATAAATACAATACAATTAAATTTCACTCATTACTGAAGTTTCATATGTACAATAATAATTTGCACAAAGGACAAATTATGGCGAATGAATACTAATTTTTCTGCCTTAAGAAGTAGCAAGCGGTTTCGCTTGTCTTCGTAAATAAGGCTAGCTTCAGAAAAAAGTCTTTCGCTGTACACACTGCTGCAAGGTGCTGAAAGATAGATGTATTGCAATCAATACAATTAGGCAATAAATGAACCACAAGCGTGTTTCTTGCGATGTACCAAATGGCAACGTTCCGCCGGACATTCGGCGGCCGAATATCCGGCTGCAAGGATGGTCGAATTACGGTATACGGCTAAACTTCTATCCGTTTCATCTCTAATAATAACGGGTATAAATACAAGAAAACTCATTGAAAAATTCACAAAAAAAATTACAAGTTACATTGAAACATAGGAATTTAAGATTCAGTATATACAGTAAGGCAATACATAGTCTTATACATATTTTTCATACAGAGTGGTCCAACGAAAAGTATGCACCTTGCTTTTCTCCTTTTTTTGTAACTTAACGCAAAAATTCTCGGACAGGTCAATTTTGTTTTTGAGGGAGACACATTTTAGATGTATTTTTCTACCTGTGCCTTCAACCCCTAGCGAGGGTGAGTAACAACCCTAAAATTTTAAATGAAAAGTGGGGTCGAGTGATATATCATTTGAAAAGGCACAAAATTATTTTTCCAATGATACCTTATTTGTTGTATTTCACTCAAACATGTAGGTATTGTGAAGAAAAACAACTACAACCCAGTACTTTGAAATGTGTAATTGACTTAGTAGTGACTTCGTTGATTCTAGTGGCGCATTTGCTTTTTCAGCTGCAGGAAAAACCTGCATCATCAAAACCAAAGTCCAATCATCCCAATGCAAGATCTCAGGAGAGCCAAGACCAAAAAAGCACGCCAAATTTGACCAAAAACAACACTGCAATCTTGTCTTAGCCACCATATTCACCAGACTTAGCCCCTTGCGACTTTTTCCTGTGCCCTGTGAAGGGTACGAAATAGAAATTGATGAATGAACGAATACTTTTTGAGAAAAATGAAAATTGACCTTATTTTTTATTAGACCTTGTGTATTCAATCTTACCTAGAGTTAAAGGCACTAAATTGATTTCGAATATTTCCTTCACTGAAATACCACCCACAGGAGGTTTCTCTCTGCAAAATATCCTCAAAACTTTCTGAAAAGAATAAAATAGAATCTCAAATAACGGAAAATCATTAAAATTAAATGTACTTTATGTTCTATCGGCATGTCAAATTGTATCTCTGTGGGACAAAGAACTTCCTTATAGATTTCGTTGGGCAACAAATTCGTCATCCTCATATAGCCAAGTTCCAGCAAGTGTTCCACAGAATCATCACTCTTCGAATTCTTAGTGTATCTAAAATAGAATATCTTCATTACACGGTAATCGCAAAATATACTACCTACAAAAAGTTACTCAATACTAAATCTGCAATACCAATTTGTCCGTCTGCCTCGGTCAAACGCCATTGTGCATGTTTGAAACAAATTTCATTAGCTCTCACGATGGTAAGTGGTTTATCACTTCTAGTCGTAGCTAAGCGGGCGTTTGCTAGAAGTTGAGACTCTTTATAACATGAGAGCATCATGTCCAACTCCTCGCTTTGAGCGCTCAATTGATTCTTACATTCATCCATCTGAAATGAATCGTTACAAAACTGTTGTCCCAAATTTCTCTTTTTTCAAACTCACCAGTCGTTCTAATCGACCAGCATCCTGCCTCAACCCAATGTCGTCGGGACTCTCTTCCAAAGCTTTGTTGACCAAGTAAGTCTCCTTTTCAAGTCTCTTCAGCTTACTCTGGGTGGATCTAACGAGTGTCTGTTGGTTTTGTATGGGTTTTCTTTGGTCTTCAACGCTATGCAGTTGTAACTTGAACCTCATACGAGCTAACTTTTCTAGTGCTTCTTTTCTATGAGGCTCCACATATAATAACAGATTGTTCACTATATCCAACAGCATGGCATACTAGAAAGAAAATATAGTCATTGGACCCCACTGGATGTATATCCGGATAATCTTCAATGGTTATTGGGTTAGCCAGTTCAAATTTCATTCCTCTCAGTCGTATGGAGGTGTGAGGGAACTGATGGTCCATTGAGATGATAATTCAGAACCCAAGTTCTATACCCAAAATGGAGAAGGTCAATTTACTGTAACGGAGGGACTTGGCAAGGTTCCTCGATCCGATGGCAAAAGCTAGGCTTTTGTTAACCGGGGTGACATGTGCACCTCAGGCGTGTCATTCCTGAACTGCTGCTTGACCAGACCTCAGATGGAGATTGGGTGTATACATCCGGTGGTTAGGTCCATTAGTCATTGGACCCCACTGGTTTTGCCAAACAAAGATTGAACACCTGGATGGCAAGAAGATTTATGGACTTCTGGCAGAATCTTTCAGGATTGGCTCACTTCAAGGCGTTTATTCACCCATCCAAGCTTGATACCAAACAGTTGTTGGACTAATATAGGGATAAACTTCGATGTCTAACAGGCCTTCTCACAGGTCATTGTTGCCTCTGTTTGGAAAATGATGAAACAGCAGAGCACATACTTTGCCTGCCCCGCTGGGCACCGAATGGGGTTTTTAGAGTTTGGCAGAGCCACAAGGGTCAATATTGGGGCCACTTCTGTTTCTAATCTATATCAACGACCTGCCTCACGTGATGAACTCGTCAGACATAGAAACTATATTGTATGTAGATGATGCAACCTTGGGCAAAAAAATATATGAAATAGATGATCTTCATTCTGACATATTAGAGAAAGCTCGATCATGGTTCACACCAAATGACTTGATTCTCAATGAACAAAAAACAGAAACTCTAACTTTTGAAACAATTTTCTTAAATCGAGATAAGAAAAATTCTACCAAATTTTTGGGAATACAAATAGATTCCAACCTGAAATGAGCATGTGTAGTAAACTTAGTAAGACAGTTTTTGCTATCATAAGAATTAAAAAAATAGTAAATCAAAGTGCGGCACTTGCAACATATCATTCACTTTTTCATTCAGTCCTTAGGTATGGTATAATCAATAGGAATAATGCATCAAAGGTACATCTTAATAGAATATTTGTCATTCAAAAATCTGCAGTAAGAAGCATAATCTCTACCAATTATGATGAAAAGTGTCGACCAATATTTGTAAAACTTAAAATATTGACCCTATATTCAGTTATTGTCTATGAAAATCTGCTTCTTGTTCAAGAAAACTTGATGAATGAAGTTGCTCACAAGGATATACACCAACATGATACAAGAAATAAATAAAACAGATAATCTAGGAATTAAGCTATACAATGCTTTACCTGTCGAATTTTGTAACTTACCAGTTAGAAGATTCAAAAACTTATTGAATAAAATATTAACCAAACATCCTTTATATGAAATTGATCAATTTTTCGAAATTATTCAAGAAGAGACACCTTTGTGGTCACCTCCCTAACTTTTACTCAACTTTGAATGTATGTATGTATTTTTTTTGTAAATCTAATTTATCTACAAGCATTTTTTTAAAACTATATTGACGTGTCTAAAAACTGTGTGTTTCTTGAGAGTAATAAAATTATTATTATATGAATTTGAGGTATCACTCACTTGTAAAGAATTTGTACAGACTTCGAGGTCATAATGCATGAGAGTGAAAGCATCAACAGCTGACTCTCGACTCTCCCATGGTCCCACTTCTTCTTGCGGTGGAGGTGGAATCTCCCCTAAACCTTTAGGATCAACACTGATGTCACCATAATCGGCATAAAAAAATTCACATTTACATCTTGATACAATACGTTGTAGCTGAAAAATAATCATCATCGATAATGAACTAGATTTCAAATATCAGGTACTTCCGAATAAATGTAAAAGTTGTGGCAATGGGTATTCAAAGTACATACCTGCCTAGAACAACTAGGTCCGACGGTATCACTGACAACAGCTCCTACAGAAACGCCACTACCCACCATGTTTGGTACTTCTGAGGGTTCGGATATTTCTGTGGATTCTTTTTCCTGAATATTGTCAACTGTCAGCCACATTATATTATCTAAAATATATTAGTTTTAAAAAGTTTTACGCGGTTTATGAAAGGCTACCAACCATCGGTCGTATCATTTTCTCTAGCATTAACCGTAGCGTAGTACTGCATACATTCTAAAGTTCCCAACCAAGTTGTTTTAGAAACCAGCGTCCTGTCTTTCCAAGCGGGTCTATGGATCCTCTGAACGATTTCTGCTTTTGCAGCACTCAGTATTACATAACCCTTTGTTTCGCAGCCTTTCAGTAATACTTGCGCATTTACGAGGGCAACTAAAACGTAAATTGGAATTCAATTAAAGATTGAGAAATATATTTGGTCACAATAAACGATGTTCAGAAGTACTGAATAAAAAAAACTGAAATTTATAGTGTTGTAGGTCATTCCCGAAAGAAAATAACGCCGGCCGCCACTGGTAGTCATAAACCAATGGTGACGTAGCTAAAAGCGCGAGAATGTACGATGATTCCCCGCCACTCGAGAAGCAGTAGGAATAATGCTACCAACTTCGGCAGAACTTCGACGAAATTTGTACGGCATTCGTTTACGATTTTTAAACGCTAGCTGCTAGAATATCTACACAGTCAACTGAAAGCTACAGTGCGGTATGCGAAATGATCTAGTAAAGCGATAGACATTCAAATAATAGTTAAATTTTTAGTTGAAGTGTTTGTTGCATTTACAGTGAAATAAAGTTAAATTTGAGTCTTCAGAGTAGTCAATTATTGGTGAATCCACGGGGGAAAACGTAACAATAGACTAAAATGAATATTCAAAGAATGTTAACTTTCAAAGCTATTTTCCGGGTTTTTCAGCCGTGGTCTGTAGGTGGCATGCCGAAGTTTCGTCTACTACTTAGATATCATCAGAGGCGATGTGGTAACTGTCACAGTACTCGAGTAGTTCTTAACGCAGAAACTACTTGCCGGAATTTTTCTCCAGTTTCATATTATCATAGGTGGACGTAGATTCGTTTCTCTTAATTGGATTACCTCAAATTATTATTCAAGAATGTATAGAGAGGCAATACAAATTCAGAAACAAGGGGATAATTTCAATAGAAAGGAAGAGGGAATGAACATTATTAAAATCTGGCTACCTGTCCTTAATTGTACACAAACAAAGTAATCCAAGAGAAACCGAGGCACGCCCACCTATAATAATATAAAACCTGAAACAAATATCATCATTGTTAGTAGTTTCTGCGTTGGGAACAACAACTCGAGCATTACCGCAGCACCTTTAATAATGTCTACCGCAGTATTAGACGAAACGTCAGACATAAAAACCTGCAGACCACGGATAAAAAAAATTGGGAAATAGCTTGGTCGTGAAATAAATATTGCTAGGTAAACTATTGAGACAAAATCCAAAACATCTTGACCATTTAGAAATCATAAACTGTTCGTGGTTCTCCATCACGTACGTTTGCAAAAAAATCAAAAGTGGGAATTTGAATATAATCTATAAATCAAATATACTTTACTGTCCGAAGATTTGCATCTTATTGGCAAAGTCCAAGAAATACAATGTAGATATAGAAAAAGTTACAAAAGAGTATAAATGTAGATATGAAAAAAGGTTCAAAAATGTATACATGTAAATATAAAAAAAAGTTTTAAAAGTGTATAGATGAAACACCACCACGTATAAAGTGATAGTACAAAAACTAAATTGTTAATTTATTGTTAAAAGGATTCACTAAAATACTCTTCCAAACTATAATGGGGTCTATCAACAAGTAGGTTCTTCACCGCCTTTTTGAAATGAATGTTGCTTAGATTTGCAGATCTCATTATTAATGGTAAATGACTGAACAACTTACCACCATTATATAGTATATGGAATCCGTGATTAAATTCGAAGTTGGGATGGGAAGCCTAAAGGTAATTGTTATTACGAGTTTATAAATAAGGCAAACCGTTTCTAGGATAAAAAATGAGATGATCAATACAGAAGAGAGAGGGGATGAGTTGCATGCCCCCCGAAAAGGTATTCCATAAAGTAGTCGAGATTCAATAAGTGCATGGTAAATGGTCTTTGCGATAAAGAAACCCAACTCATTTGAAACCACTCTAACTGCATAACATCCGGAGGAGATCTTACTCTTGAGCTGTTTAAGGTGTTCATCAAATTTCATCCTATTATCAATGATTACACTGAGAAAATTTGTGTTCAATTTATTTTGTAATATGGCAGCGTCTATTGGAATTTCATAAAGCGAACATTTGAATGATATTATATTCGTTTTGGATACATTGAGAGAGAGTAAATTTGCATCGCACCAGCTCTTCACCTTCTTCAAGTCGGATGATATTATTTTTTTAGCTCCACTGAGTTTTTTCATTCCACAATATTGTAGTATCATCCGCGAATAGAGTGAAACTACCAGATATGTCAATCATAGAGATGTCATTCATATATAGCAGAAATAGAATAGGGCCTAACACATAACCCTGTGGTACACCAGATTCAATGGCCCTGTTCTCCGAGAGTTCCGTTGTCCTCACCATCTGACTCCGACCTGAAAGGTACGATTCGAACCAAGTGTTCGTTACACCTCTACATCCATATTTATGAAGTTTTTTTAGTAAAATTTTATGATTGACACAATCAAACGCCCAATCAAACGCCTTTGAAGTATCGCACAAAATTGCGGCGGCTACTTCACCAGCATTCAGTTCAGAGTGAATTTTATATAAAAAAGAGAAGATAGCATCATTTGTATCTTTTTCCGTCTGAAACCTTAACTCGTTTTTTTCTTAAAATACAGTACAGTTTTAAGAATTCATCTAGACGTACTTTGACTAATTTCTCAATAATGTTTGCTCTAGTGTCAGAAAGAAGGTGTTGCCATGTATTAGTCATTATAAGGGTTATGAACTTTCAACATTCGTTGTAAGACAAGGTGCGCTAACTCACTTGTATTGAAACAAGACACTCCACTCAACACCGTTCATTCACTGAACTCGCAACTTGTGAAAATAAAAAATAATATGTAATTACTATAACCGAGCTACTCTTGCTGAGTAGTAACTGCCTAATGATAACTAGTGAATACCCACTGAATCATTATTCTCCAAAGAGCTTGTGTCATAGTTAGAAATACTCATCCCTTGAGATACGCTTTACCCATATTCGATTCTGAATATTTTGTACAATCTCTTTTGAAGTACTTACTCTGCCAATTTTTATGTTGGACATCGTCCTGCTGACAAGCTTGAAGTCCCTGCAGGTGTTGTTTCGAAACAGCAGACAGATCGTCACTATAAACAACAGCATTGTTATCAGCCTCTGCTATCAACTGCTGAAGCATATTGGCAGCATGCCCAGACTGAAGTTTAGTCATAGGCGAAGGAGTGTCTTGTACTGCTGTGGAAGACTGAATGGCCTACAATGGAAAAAATCTAATAAATGTGCATCATTTCATTCCAAAGAGTCTTTTATGAGTTTTGAGAAGAGTTTTTTCCTATCAATTGAGTATTGATGTTAATATTGTGAACAAGAAAGAATTTTCGAACTACTGATACAACTAGTAGTTCTCAATGTAAAGGTTATTTCAACATTTTTATCCGTTTTAATGTAAAGTGTTATATAAATTTATCATATTAGCTAATATGACAAATTCAAATAGACGTGTTCCCGATTAACCAAAATAAAATTATGGCGAAGGAGACTACGATCGAATTTATGGCGAAGGAAGCTACGATCAAATTTATGACCAAAAGTATTAGAATTGAAATTATGGCGTACGATAGCGCGGCAAAAATAAGGCGGGAGTACCACAATCGAAAATGTGGCGAAGGTGCCGCGCCTAAAACATGTCACCCGTACCATGGTGGAATTATGGCGAAGGTATGCGCTGTTAAAATTATGGCGAAGGTATGCGGTGCTGAAATCATGGCGAAGGTATGCGGTGCTAAAAATTATGGCGAAGGTATGCACTGTTGAAATTATGGTGAAGGTATGCGCTGTTGAATTTATGGCGAAGTGCTTTCGAGATTATGGCGAAGGCGCTTGTTTTCGGAATTATGGCAAATGATACTTTTGCTGACAATTATAGCGGATCAAAATTATGGAAAGGCGTTGTTGGATCATAATTATGACAAGGATGAAGTTGAACGATATTTGAATAAGTAAAAATATTCTCAACATTTTATGTACGAATTTGAAATGATGGTGAATGCCAAATTTATTTCTATGCAGGTATTTGCAGTTGAGTTTATTTTCCACCAAGACAACTTGAATACGTACCTTCTGAATTCGTTGACACATCAGAAAATAAAGAAACATTTATGCCTGAACCGACCGTCGTGGAAGATTTTGAATAATTATTTTAATAATGGAAAATTATGTTCACAAATGATGGTGGTTTTGTTTTATTTATAATTTTTTGTATATCTGCATATTTTCAAGTCCCCTTGATGAATTTTTGATGAAAACTACAAGTATGTTTCATACCACCAGCATATTATTTTTTCAGTGTTCGAAAACTATTCGACTGTAAAGTTAGTCGACCCAATATAATTTTTCAGTATTACTCTGTTATACGTCAATGAATTCAGAATGAAGAATTCCAAGCCTAATGATGGTAAGCCAGAAGAAATGAGTTTTCTGAAGTAACAATATTCATAATAAAAGTAACAGAAGCAAAAATAAAAAATTGAAGTGCTGTTTTTTTTCTCAATATTTCTAGAACCAAACCTTTCATTTTCGAAATTTTCCCTTCAACAAATAGTCAGCAGAACAAATAGAGTACTCAAATGTACCCGATAGAAATGAAAATGCGATTTTTGAAACCCAGCAAATAAAATTATACATTAATCAAAACTACTACTCACTTGTATTGAAGCATTTGGTGGGGTACAAGAAGGGTCAGTATTTCTTCTCTTCAATGGAGTAGTTGTATTCTCTTTACGAAATCCTTTTAATGCCTCAGTTGACAGATTTTTTTTCAGCCTCTACAAACAAAGGAATCTGAAGAAAACTCAAAATGAGACAAATTTTTAGTTTCAACAAAACAAAATGTCTTTCTAATCGCCAGGGCTCCTTTATATAGTGTCAACATCAAGTTACCATAAGAACAACAGTAGTGTTATTCCCAGCTTAGTAATCTAAAACTTTAGTAATGAAGATGTTTATCATACCCTATAGTAAAACCAATAATGATTGAGAGTAAAGCGCGTTGTCATATCTAAATTTTACGTTACCAGTTTATAGCAGAACCAAAATATAGTAAGCAGTAGAGTTGTAGGTTGTGGCAAATTATAGATAATACACAATACTAGTACGATTAAAAGGTATTATTTATGACAAAAATCAGTAATGAGCTTGTAATGAGTAATACTTATACATTTCCTGATTACTGATCAGTTAAAATTCATTATTTTCTGTATAGTGTTAGATATTTATTACAACTAGTGGCAACGCTGTACGCAACGATATTTCTGTCTTTGTCACTTTACCG